TCCTGACGTTGTGAATATCTTGTTGTAAGAAATTTAAACTTTTATTTGTTGTCTTCTCTCTGTAAAGGCAATTGTAATTTTTCTCTTTAAAACATATTTACAAAAAAAGCCCTCAAGTCTGCACAATGTATTAGGTCTCAAGTATAATTTATTTTCCTCTTGGAGTTCTAGTTGCAATTTTCCCTATTAAAAATGGAAAAATCTTAAGCGGATTATATTACTCAAGTCTAGATAAACATGAGTATAAAGTGAGAAAGAACATGTCAATTTTTTGTGCGGTACCCAATCAATTTATATATTTTATAGAACCTCTGAAAAGCTAAAACCACACTATTATTATTATTATTAGTGTCATTTGGATTACAAGAGACAAGCAAAGAGCTTGAAAATTGGAACATTAATAATTTATATTTTGCCGAAAGCATTTTGTATAGCTTGTTACTTTTTTTGGAAATTGGAACATTGTTCCTATCATATGACACTGCCTTTATATAACAAGTTGACAACACAGGGAACATGGATTTGTAAATTGTTTGTGACTGGGTTTTGTAGAGGTTTGACCGGATGTAAATGGATATCACGCAAATGGTATTTTATTGGTTGTAGCAATTTTGCAAAGTCTCACCTTATGTTAGAACAAAGGCTTCAAAAAGTTTAAAATATTTAATCCTCGTTTAATATGATAAAAGAGTTTTTAATAAAATTGAAATCATAATCAAAATTAAAATTAAAATCAAAATCAAAATTGAATTGAATTTTAAAAGCATGTTTGGTATGATGATGAAATTCTAATATAATTTTCATTTGAGATATATATATATATATATATCTAAAATACAAAAAATTACCTAAATACCCTTGCCAATTTTTTAAAAGAAAAACTTGTCCTTTTTTTATCCCTACAAATGAAAAAAAAAACCCTATTCATCTTCTCCTTGCTAAAACACTTCCTCTAGTTTCAGGTGCAAGTTCGAACTCTCGCCTTCGACTTGCGCCACACTCATCATTAAGCTCTTGTGTGTTAAAATCACGGCAACCATTCATTATGGAAGAGAATAGCAATGCCATCGGATCATCCAAGTAGATCTCCACCTTCGATACCTCATTCTCCTATGCTTCTGTCACCATCGAGAAATGCATGCACTCCTCCAGTAGTCATCAATGATGATCACCTCAGTTGATCCTCTCCTTTGTCCATACCAACGTCATGGTCTCAAAGCTTGTCAACGTAAGTAGATTGCTTAACAATTAGTTCCAACAGGCAAGGGTGGAAAAAATTCATCTCCAGCTATTTAATTTCTTGTTGCATCTTCTTCGACCTCGAATTGTTGCGTCTTCTATGATGGCTCCTTCATCATTGACGAGAACACAACATGATGGGTCTTTCAACACCAGCAAGAATGCAAAGTGATGGCTCCTTCAATGCCGGTGCTCATCCTTGAATTGTGTTAGGTTGCCACCATTAGATTAGAGAAACATCGTCTTTTTTGTTGGTATTACCACAGGCAATTTCTATGATAGAGGTTGTCGCACACAACAAGGAAGATGATGCCACCTCTCATTGATCGTTAGAGACAAGGAGTAGTGGTGGAGGAGTTGCTGGGGCAACAAAAGGGTGACAAGAAGACAGAGGTGTACAACATTGAGATTAAAGCATTGAAGCAAAGGGTATTGAAGTCCGAAGGGATAAATTCTATGGAATTCACCCAATTCCATAGAGTTTGTGAAAGAATCGAATTTCATCATTTTTGCCAGAATTGGATTCCTTAAAAATTACAACTCTTGCCAACCAAACGCACTTGCATCAGGATTTTGTTTTCAATTCCATTTCCTTTTCCTTAATTTAATGATACCAAATGAGGCCTTATTGACTGTGTAAAGGTTATGAATCTTATTTTGAGGGACGGAACCAATCTTCACCTTATTATATAATGATTGACATGTGTCTTTAGAATTTATGTACAGGGAAGGTAATTTTTTGTACACACTTTATGACTAACAATGCTTCAAGTAAGTACAGTGATTTTCACACTTTTGATTAACCACTACTTTACCAAAAAAAAAGTGAGGGATGATGAAAAACAGTTGAGTTAGATCCAACTTTCTTTGAAATCTCATCCTGAGCAATGGATCATTTTTCATTTTTTTTAAATGTACGATCCAAAAAGGGAAAAAACTTACATTTTAATATTTAAAACTTATTTTAATTATTTATTTAAATGATGAAAGCCTTTGTCACTCATGTCAATTTTAATTGATCAAATATAATTGTTTTCAAACTGTGTGCATTATTAATAAAAAAATATGCTTATTTAATAGTCACTGGTATATATGTTCATGTTTGTTCTCATGTCAATTGGCTTAATTTTGTCATGATTATGTCAGGACGGGACAAAAAATGTTCAAAACAGGATAAGACATGAGATTACTACTAAAATGTCTTGTCCTCTCCCATCTCGTCCTAGATATATTATTATATATTTTATTTTATTATATTTAATATTTTATTCATTCAAGTAAAGTTTTATATATATATATATATATATATATGTATATATATCATTTTTTTTTTAACATGACCATCTTCTAATCGCTTCTAGTTACTCGGCTGGTTGATAGTAGGCCTCTCTTGACTAGTGGTTAGGGAGATTTTATTTTTATTTTTTTTGAGGAGAATATTTTGGTAGATATACATAAAAAACATAATGGACTTTGGAACTTCATAATAATTTATGAAACTGGTGGGACTTTAGGATATTTTATATTATTGGGCAGAGTTATTTTTTCAAGAATTCATATTAACGCATAGAAAATTGAATGACCCGTGAATATGGCACGTTCGATTTCCCCCATGCTTTGTGCTTATTTTTAAATTTTTAAAGCGAAATTTCTCTTACTTATCAAACAATACAAATCAATGCTATGTTCTACAGGGGCGAAAAGTTAAGAGGAGAAAAATGAGGGAGAAAAGTGAGAAGAGTGTCACATTTTGTTTTTGGCCAGGCAAGGGAAAATATGGGAGAGAATGGAAATTGAGAATAAAATAATATGTCAAATCCACATGTTTTTACTCCAATTTTTCTTTCGAAAAATAGGAAGATTTAGAAGAAAAACTTTACTTCCAAATTTTTCCATTGATATTTTATTTTTCATTTCTTGCCTCCTAACACCTCCATTTTCTGTTTTTATATTTGTTTATAGTTTAAAATTTTTATATTTAATAATTTTCTGAGTAAAATTTAAGATTAGATAAAATAATTTGTAATGATATTTTTATTTCATCAATCTTTGTCCACAAAATATTTTTATTCCATTAGTAATATGACATGAAAATTATATAAATAATTTTAAGTTTTTATCTAAGTATTTTTTTTACAAATGATAAGATTATTATTACTATTCAATGAAATTAACAACCTTCTATTCCTTTATCTTTTCTCGCAGTCAGCCAAGCATGAGGATGAAAAATCACATCTCTTCACTATATATATATATATATATATATATATATATTTTCCTTCTTTTCGTTTTTATGCTCTCATTTTCTTTCCTTCACGCGTTTTCTTTTCAGCCAAACACTGTGCAAGTATACTTTTTTTGTTATATATTTTCTCTAAAGCTGATGTAAATGGTGTGTCACACAATATCCATGGCTCATAAATTATATAGTTTATTAATTTTTTATTTAAATATATAAACTTTTAAATTTATTCATCAAGTAAAATTTCCCCCCAAAGTGTGATCAAGCATCCCTCATAAAAATACAGCCCTCATATCATATCATTAGAGCTGGTAAAAAGGGTCGGTCCTTAAAGGGCTCGGGTTTAAAAAGGTCAGCCCTTTTAAATCCGAGTTTCCTTCAGGATCCTGATATTTGAAGCCCGACCCTTGATATAGCGGGCTCAAGGCCGGCCCTGCGGGCTTTAGGCCCTTTTAATTATTTTTATTTTTTTTAAATTTTTTAATCAAATAAAAAATTACTTATTTTAATATAATACTCAATCAAGAAAGGCACAAAAAAAAACTAACTAAATAACATCTAAATGAACTAAAACACAAATAAAATAATAACAATGTAATAAGTAATGGATCGGCTAAGCCGACAAACACCCAATCAAAATTAGAAGAGTAAATGTTGAACTGAATGAATCATTATCATGGATCTAGATGAATTAGGGGATTTAAGGTTATATTTTTTTTAGAAAATAGTAGCCAATGATTTCTATATGAAATTTATGTCAATTAAGAATCAATTATTGTCAAAACCTGAATAAAAAACAAGTTACAATAACTATTGTTAATTTAAAATGAGTTATTATTAAAATCTAAATGAATACTTATTGATAAAGGCTAACTCAAATTCACAAGTATCTACTCAAATTTTGACAACAGGTGATCCTTGATTGATATAATTTTTGATCAATGATTCTTCATTGCTATTTTTCCTCCTTTTTTTTTTGCCTTCCATCCTCAGTAAATATGGGCTAATATGTAATGTGGAGTAAGATTTAGTTTAATATTTTTTCAAATTTAAAAAGAGTAAAAATTATGATAATTAATTAAAAAAATGCATATGCGGGCTTAAACGGGCTGGCCCTCGGCCCTGCAAGGCCGGCCCTTTTAAACCCTAGATTAAACGGGCTTAAACGGCCAGCTTGTTTAAGCCCGATTTATCATTTTACAGTTTTATTTATAAATTCGACCTTACTCTTACACAAATTTAAACGGATTAGCCAGCTCGACCTGTTTTTCCAGCTTTACATATCATATAACATACATGTTGATAAAAATACTAAACAAAATTATCTCATTTACAAATGTACGCCTCGTATCAATTCGTCCTGCCAATGTCCACGTAGACGCATCACGTACGTGTCTCTCTCTCTCGTCTCGACAGATCGTTCTGGCCTTTTCTCGAACAGAGCCTGGGGCAGCAAGATCGGGCTGACCGTGCTGCCCGGCTCTGACACACACACCCAATAAAAAAGTCTGACTTCCTGCTTCAGGCATCATAAATGAAAGCAAAGAGCATCGTCACAGGCACTTGCAGTGGCACGAGAACAACTGGAAGGCGAAGAAGAAGAAGACGACGCAGTCTCAGGAGAAAAATGTGGTTCATCTGCGTCTGCGACGAAGAAGAGAAGGAGCTCGCCAGACAGCAAGCCCCTGGATCTTGCCCTCACTGTGGCGGCAAGGTCGAAGCCATGGACGTCGAGATCCAGCGCAGGTTCTGCTTCTTGCCTCTCTGCTTCACCATCAAGCGCAAGTTCTTCTGTACTCTTTGCGCTCGCCGCTTAGAATTGTTCTTCTAGATTTTAGATCTTCCTTTCCTCCTCTCCAAGCCGAATCGGTAGTCTTACAAACAGAATCGCGCCTGCTCGTATATATTCGTGTCAAATATGTGTCCAGATTGTGATTCAATCTCTGAGAGAGGGTTCCTTGTATGTAAATCTCGACGTTGTGTTTGATTTTTTATGCTTATTTGGATTTTTTCCTGGCGATTTTTAGGTTTTGAGGTGATTGAAGCATTAGAAATTTTACTCGTAATGGTGTTGTGCAGGAGACTGGAAACCCAGCTGTTCTAACTTCTAACCGATTGGCCTGCGTTCGATTTTTGTTCCTTTTGATTTCTCTCTATATGAAACTTGGGCGATATCTTGCCATTATTGCGGATTTTTGGATCAGAAACAATGGAATCGGAAGCTAGCCTTGTCTGATTAATTTGAACTTTGAATAAAATGTTCAGATTTCCAATGGAAATGAGCTCTTTTGTATGAATCAGAAGAATTGATGTGTGTATATAAAAATATAAGATTAAGATGGGTCCAAGCTCAGTATTGTTTGTGTGAAACTGAATATGGAGGATTGATTTGCAGGTACTGAGAAGAGGTCGTCGTGTATATATCTGCAACTAAGAAAATGTATTGATAGTGGTTGGAGAAGAATGCATCCCCTCCCAAGTTTTGGCTTACTATTTTATTTCCCTTTCATTTTCTTCCTATCTTTTTATTTATTTTATTTTTTTAATAAAAGCACAATCCATATTAAAGTGACATGTAGCATTTTTGGTCTAAAAAGTTCATTTTTTAAAGCACCAATGGACCCCATATATCAATTCCAAAAGCCAATCATGTTTCCCCCGCACTATCCTGCTGTCTTCAATGCCATAATTCAAGAGGTTGAGATGAAAATACCATACCAATATTATTTTCGTAAATTAATTTCTGCTGGGAGGATTTTTTGTCCAACTAATTAAAATAAATTATATTTTAGTTAGGAGTATTTTAATAATAATGGGATGTATTCGTGTTTTTAAAAGAAAATTAAGCCAAAATTATTACAAGGTAATGAAACACTCTTCGATTGTGAAGTTTGTATAGGGCTTGTGGCTTGTGGCAGAAGATGTTTTCAGCTTTCATCATGCATTCATGTGCTATGTGGTATTTGGGGAAAGCTGTTCACGACTCACGAGTGTGGCGAGAGAGTGTTTATGTGACGTGGACGGTTAAAGCTAGTGGGCCCGGCTCAACATAACGCGCTTTCTTTGCTTCACCAGAATACAAAACAAAGCCGGCTGTGCCTATCAAAAACGGAAAAACCCAAAAGATGCAAACTGAGCAATTGACTCCCTTCTCGTCTCCACGCGTTATGTCTTTCGTAGGCATGGCTTCTGTTTCCACATTTCACCGTCAGTAACAAGTACCGGATTCTACTGATAAAAATTAAAAACTGGTTCAAAATGAGTAAGAATTTAACTCATAATTCACCGTGGTTCAAATCCAATTGTTAATAAAAGAATTTTGTTTGTAAAGTGTATGCAAGGTCTTGTTCAATATGATTGAAGAATTTTTTACGGAATCATAATAGGAATTAAAATAAAATTGGGTTTTAAAAGATGTTTAATGTGATAATGAAATTTTTGATATAATTTTAATAAATATTTATATTAAAAAAAAGAACAATGTACTGTTTTTCTCAAGATTAAAAACCTTCTTTATCCCTTTAACGGCAACCCTTTTCTTTCCACCGATAGCATAAATCAACACACACAGACCCATCGGCGGACACCATATCCTTCGTAAGCAACAACCAAAAGCAGAAAACACGATAAGAAAATGGATCAAATCTATACGACCAAAACCAGAATTTGCTTTAAAATGCAGAATCATATTCAGAAGAAATTTGTGGAAACAAGGGGAGAAGCTCGATGGATTCAAATTCTAGTCAAAACCATGAGTTGCCAACGGCAAAACTCAGAGACAGTGGCGGAGTTTATAATGAACCCAAGCAATGACTGAAACTAGAGAATAGCAAAACCACCAACCACACATAAGATCAAAAACAAATCAGCAAAAAAACCTTAAAACTCACCAACCACTGTTGCTAGACGAGTGACCTTCAATCTCACATTCATCTGGGGTTCCTTCGGTCTTCACTCGAGTGAACATTTGAGCCGTTGGGGATAGAAGGTGGAGACAGAGTCAGCAACGGCAACGACAAGGACAGTGCTGGAGCTGGGGATGAAAAAAGGGAGGGGACAATATTCATCGGAGTTTGACTTCTGCGTGAGGGTAGAGATGTCTCAAGCAACCAATTCCAAGGAGTCGGACCGATTCCATTGCTCTCGTGACAATGGAATCCAATCCTGGCATTTTTCATGGAATTGAATTTCTTAAAAATCTTAATTCTAAACTACCAAACATAACATACTTAAATACGGAATCCATTTTCAATTTCGTTTTCAAGATTAGGATTTTTATCTACCAAACATGACTTAAAGTATCTTTATAAACACTTGATGAGCCTGCAGATATGCAAAGTCATTGTGAGCGCCTAAAACAATGGATTATTTTTGTTTTTTAATGATACTCAAACAGACATTAACTTATCTTTTTTAAGATGCACTTATTTATATCATATTTAATATTTAAAAAATAATTATATGTGAATCACAAATCTTGAAAATTTAGTTAGTTATAAAAAAAATATATTGATTTAAACTAAATTTCAGATAAGAAATTCTAAATTTAATTAATAAAAAGTAGAAAGAAATGGGAGAAAGTTAATATATACTTTCTCCATTTAAAACTATAAGGCATTTTTAAGTAGTTGAATATTAAAAAATGTAGGACATTTTTAGTATTTTGAAGTGTAATTATTGCTTTTTTTTTAAAATGTCCCTATTAATTAATGACTTTATATTTATTTTAGGATGTTTAATAAGGATAAATATGAAAAAATAAAATTAATTTAAAAATAAGTAACTATTTTATTGAAAAGTAAGATTTGATTAAAAATATTTTATATTTTTTAACGAAAAAAGTATTTATGTATCAAATAAAAAGAGCACAAAGCCCAAAGCAAAATCATAGAGAAATAATTTTCATGAAATTCATGGCTTATAAATACATAATTTTTAGAATTTTTTATATTTAAATTGACAAAATATACATGACTCATCACATTATGAATAGTTTAGTCATTTTTCAAACAATAAATTTGTCATTAAAATATAAAAGCTGAAAAAAGCTACATTCACAAGCTTCGGTCAGTACACAGCTTACTAGTGCTACTATACTCATCTCGAATTATACTGTTCAAAGCACGCCTCACTTAAAAAACTTATTATAGGCATAGCTATTTATATTATTTACAAATAGCACAATATACATGAATGTTGTTTCAATCTTGAAAATGGTATATTTTTCAATTTGATATTGTTAATCGGAAGGCTTTTTCTTGTAGTTATCCAATTACGAGGAGTTCACCAGTTGAAGTAAACAAATATCTTTTACGTGTGAAGCTCCATAGACATGATTTGGAATATGCAAGGTGTCAGTAGAGACGAGAAATTTGATGATTAGGAAAGGAAAGTAACAACAATGAAAGCGACAATGATACAACAGCAAGTAACAAAGAAGCAAATGGCTGATGCCATAGCCGTTTACATATGGATCAACATACAACTTTAGTTAGGCAAGCACAGTAACATATAGCTGGTTTCAAATACTTCCTGTGTGCCCAACTAGTTCACTTTAGAATTTAGAATTTAGATGCAACAAAACTTCCTTCCTCATAAACAAAGTGTGTGAAATTGAGAGGGAGAGAGACAAATAACAGTTTTCTAGATGATTCTTTCAAATACGTTTTTGTATTCACACATGAATTCGAAATGAAGATCTTATATGTAAGTGTTTATAACTTTTTTTACTTAGACCCATACTTATTGATATAGATGGCTGGTTTGGTTTCTAGAGTTAAGATTTAATTTAAGAAATAGGAGTTATGTCTTCATGTAAGCATGATGTATTATATTTACACAATTATCTTTGCATTGTCCTTATATAAGAAAAGTCCAATATCACAAATGTGAAAATAAACACAGTCTTAACTTTATTTTAGCTTTTATTTCTTTTCCATTTCATTTTCTCATCATTTTCAACAACTAAACAAGTTTAGAGAATGATAATTTCTTAATGTATGATTTTTTAATATCAATTTCTTATTGGATCTACTAAACTATGCCTATGGTCCAACCACAAGATAACTATTTAATGAAAAGTGATTTTATGCTCAAATTTGGAAGTTTAATGGTACACATTGTCAAATTTTATATGTTAGTGAATTACCGGCTACAATTTTTTTAAAATATTTTTATCCAGTTTGCATATTTAATCCATTCATTTGTGAAAAATCAAAACCAAATGAGAAAGTTAACGCACACAATGTATGAATGTATTTCAGATTTTGGTGTGTGTGTTGCATTCGTGTAATTGGGAGCACATTGTGATGAGCACCACGTCTCATTATCTCTAAACGAATTTAGATTGTTCAAATTTAATTTAAATAATCTAGTTTGACTTACTTTTTTTATTTTTTAATAAAAATTTATAAAATTTTTAATAAATATATTTATTATTAATATGAATCATCTATATTTAATCAGATGAGTCTGAATTTAATATTAATTTTTTATAATTTTTTTATAAATTGATCATACAGATTTAGTTTGTACCATTTAGATTAAAATTTTTAACTTGTTGCATTGTCAGATTCAAAATAATTCAAAGTAAATTTGTATCTTAATTTATAAAAATTATAACAAAAATTAATATTAAATTTAAACTGACTTGATTAAATATGAATGATAAATATTAATAATAAATATATTTATTAAAAAATTTTAAATTTTTATTTAAAAAATAAAAAAATAGTTTAATTTGGACAGTCCAGAGTGGTTCAATGAGCATTGAATGTGCTCCCATGTATTTGAAACACTTGTGTGATCCTTGGCTCTTTTGTAAGGTTTTTTTTATTATTTTTGATCACTAATGATTAAAATTAATTTTATTAATTATTGGGGTGACATTGTATCATTTTCAAAGTTAAATGGGAATATTGCATCAAAAATAGGTTCAAGGTCCAGATGCTCCTGTGGCTATAATTTAAAGGTCAATTTGTTATTTAATTCTAAATAAAAATATGTAGTCCAATGCAAATTATGTCCATCAAATTCCATTACTACTCTTTTTTTTTTTTGTCAATTGATATTTTGAAAACTTGGATATTACTACCTTTTGCCTAAATTAATCCGAACTCTTAATGTGTGAAACTGT